TTTTTCTCCGGACGCGGCAAAGCCACGCATGGCTAGGCTTGGGACGGAGTCGAAACCCCCCGTTAGCTTGTGTTCATGGTGTCGCTATACACCATGCGCCTACTTGCACAAATGACCCTGCGGGGATCTGGCAAGTGAAGTGAGCGTTTCGAGGAGAGCTATAAAATTCATTTGAAAAGAATCTGCTATACTCTCAAGCTTGCAATCTGGCATGAATGGTGCTAAAGTGCAAATGAACGTACCCAGTGAATTTAACTGAGATCCATCGACCTCGAGGAATCGCCGAAGTGGGATTCAAGTCCTTGACGTTTTGCTTAATTTTTAGAACCACTCTGCAGGAAAGTCGTTAGCAGCAATGGAATTAAAAGGTTTAGGTTAGAGGCATGCGAAGTGTGTCTCGGCATACACTGCGAAATTCCTTTTTTTTCTGTTGACACAGAGAGTGTCAATTCTTTATTAAGAATAACTGAAAGGTTTTCCGATACATGCGGCAGTTTCATGATTAAGAATAAAAGTTTTGGTTTTTGGCACGTCAGTTGGCCGGGATCTCACGCATGCTTCTTTTTGGAAATATTTGGTGCCCCACGACACCTAGCCGTTAGCTCGGGGTTCACTGGACAGATATAAAGAGAGCGAATTGCTTTGGCTTCAGAAGACAGGATGTGAGAAGGCAAGGGAGGTCCCACCTGCTTTTCTACTGCATCGCAGGTGGATTAAGAAGACAGAGGAACTGTGAGCGGCATTTGAAACACGGGTTGTCCAAGAATTACAAAGTTTCTTTCGGTTCCCATTATGTAACGTTTGTATCGGTGCTGAAAACATGTACCTTTTGAAAGCACTTAGTTGAACGCTTTTCGCCCTTTGAAAATTCTGCTCAGCATTTGAATGTTATCTGTTCACTTGGTCTACATTCGGTATGGCACAGCTAATTGATAGTGGAACGATAGAGTACCATCTGTTCATGAGTGTGTCGGGTAAACAGTTGTCAAAGTGCGTGACTTGTATAAGATGACTGACTGTGATGACGACGTGATAACTTTGATGTATTTATGTATATCTAAAGGGTATAATGTATGATTGTTAGACTACCTTGACCTGTAGTCAAGACGGCAATAAAAAAAATGCCTCACCTCCCCGACAAGAATCGTGAGGAAATGCGAATGCATTTCTTACGCCGAGAGTGGGCACCGTTGCCGTCAGACATACCCCTTCATCGACTTCTGCCATCGCCTTGCGAGGCGCCCAGCCAGCGAACGATCGAGAGTAAGGCACGAGTGGACGGGAGAGGGGGTGCAGGCAGGAGAGAGAGCGAATGGCAAGAGCAGCAGGAGTGAAGCACTGCATCTACTCTCTCCTACACTCTCTTACCACGAGCTCCGGTTGCTAGGGGCAAGGATAAGCGTGCGTGCCCACAGCTGTCGCTATGGGAGAGAGAGAGAAAAGAGATAACACCTGCTGGTGCATGGCCGCCGCCGCCGGATGCGTGACCTAGCCGACTAAGAAATGCATTCGGATTTAGAAAAAAAAGTGGCCATGGCGCAGCGGATAGCTTGCGTGGCAGGTGTTGACATGGGCCCAGGGGTCATGGGTTTGAATCTCTCAGACTGACCTTTTTTGTGACTTTTGGTCATCCGTATTTTTCGGATGTCATTTCCGAGACCGAAATACGTCAATGCAATTTTGGTGGACCCCGGCCCCTTTTTCAGCGCCGGACAAGTACATATTCCAGCGAGAATGTTGCTGTGACAGTCTTGACTCGGAGGACGAGTCTTTTGCGCTCTGCGGCCCAGTGAGCGATGGCCCTTTCTTGGGGGTTCATACTCGGCTGGTGGTTGCCAGCACCACCAGCTGAGGCAGGAGCTAGAATGACTGAGGCAGTCTTGACTGCACTCACCGCAGGGACGTTTGACGATCCCGCTCTTTCGCTGCGCGTAGAGAGGGTTGCCATCGATGGCTGGTTTTTAGCCTGCAACCTTGGGGTAAATGGCTCGGTTGCTTTTAGCGTGCAGCAGACTTTACTACTGCCACCCCAGGGACAGGTGCTCCAAGCGACAGCTCACTGTGTGCGGGCTGTGCAGGTGGTGATAGCTTTTGCGGCACTGCCCCCGACGCACCGCATCAGCATAAGGTGCGTTCTGAAAAGGAGAGCGCCTCTTGCTGGCTTCATTGAATGAAGCATTTTTTCGAGACTTTTGAGAACTGATAGCTTGCTCTTTTTTTCCAGTCGGGACACGAATGGGACTACGTGGCGTGGTTCCCGTCACAGTCAATGCCTTGAGGTATGGCAACCCGGATATTGTGTCGGGGACCATGACCACACCACACGTTGCACAAGTTTCCCGACAATGGCCGTTCGGCAAGCCATGGCCAAATTGCTGACATCCGTAGCATCATCTTAGATTAGGGATGTTAGGATGGACAGATAGATTAATTTAGTGCATTTGTGTAGTTAAAGGCAATGCGCTGGTTGCGAAAGTTAGTATTAGATGGTTGGTCGGTCATTCTTTGTTGTGTCGAATCATGATTCGTTTGACGTCGGTGACATTTGGCTCTTTTCAACCTTCTAAAAGTCTTTGTTCGGACAATTCAGAAAGGTTTGTTTCTGAGATGACTCCACGTGAGGTGTTCATTCATGGATGAGGTGAAACAGATATTCGAGTAATACGAGGTTTTGCGAGTCTGCCAAATTCGCCAAATGGTGTTTTTCAGGTAGCTCAAGCAGAAGGTCACCGCTTGGCATCTTAGTAAATCACTACTGTGGGCCAATAAACTCGGTCAGAGATTTCGCAACCACAAAAAGAGAGATAGATGTGGCTTGTTTTTCTGGATTGTCGCTATGGACGACATAACATTTGAAAAGAACAGTCTGGATCGGCGGAAACTTGCACGTTCATCGTTGCGTACCCTCTTTACAATCATGCAGGTGTTTCTATAATAAGAGCGTTTTTTTTTGTAGCAATAGATACGACCCACTATGGTGTCAAACTAGGGCACGCTAAAGCAACTCGTGACGTGGCCGAAGACAGGAGACTTCGTGTTGGGATTTAACTGTTTATTTGGGCGAACCTGTGCCCTGTGAACGGAAAGTCCAATTACAGCCGCAGTCTCGCACAGATAGCAGTCTCGGACTGATAGCGGCGAACAGAGCGTCGGCCTTCGATCAACAACTCGTGCATTTGTTTGCGCTAGCAACTACCCCATGGTTAATCTACGCCTCCAGCAAATATCGGAAGTGAACGGAAGAGAAATAGACGGGAAAGATGAAAAAGTTGGACAAAAGTGCGAAGCTGTGGAGAGAGACAGATAGGAAAAGGCGACTGCCAATTTCACCAGGGTGGGTCAGCCCAGGGGTGCCGCCTACGTGAACCGGCCAAGGGGGGTGTGTTGCCTCTGCCGGGGGCCTTAAAGGTCCAATCACCCAGCATTGCCTCAACCCCCAGGATGCCCTTTTCCCCGGACACGGGAAAGCCACGCACGGCTAGGCGTGGGAGGGAGCCGAAACTCCCCCGTTAGCTCGGGTCCGTGGTGTCGCTACACACCAAACGCCTACTTGCGCAGGCGCCCCTGCGGGGTGCCCATAATTCGAGGCTTACTAAAAAAAACAGTAACACAAGGACGCACTTTGAGCACTAAGTCGCGTTAAACTCATTGGGCGTGTGAAGAAAACGCTCCTTCTCAATCGCCGAACACCAAAAGTTCATCATACCCTAGTGAGGTGGCTGTCACAAGCACCATCTTATGGTTGGCACAGCTTCACTCGTGGATAAGAATTTTCACTCCTGCTAATTTTTAAAACCTCCATAGTCAGGAGCTTACTCGTGGCCGGAAACACAGAGGGATCATTCGATGTGGCGCTGTTTAAAATAAAAATCATACAGCATTAGCTTCGGCTAATGTATGGTTCTAGTTCACTATAGCTTCTGGATTATGGACATTTTCAACGCCTTCTTCAAATACAAACAAGTGCTATGGTGGTTTGTTAGTTCACACTTGTCCTGCGTATAACTATGCGTTCTTTTCGAGTGTCCTTCTTGTTGTAGCGGCGGGCTAAAATATCCAGTTGCTTCTCGTTCTCCGTATGATATTCTGATTTCTTGCTATCGCATTCGTTGCTTCGTGCTATTGACGAAACAAAGTGGGAAAAACTGACTTTTTTTCGTTGTGCACATGTTAAGTTTCAGTTTAGGATTTGTGTGGCGTGGCGGACGTCGACAAGGCTAGGCGCTAAGGTTCTACGCCGCTAAAATTGATATGAAAGCGCATGTGTTCCTCAATTAAACTTTTCAGTCATGCATATTTACTTATTGACGTCCCTTCTGTTCTTTTCAGTCTTCATCCTTCTCATACTGTACCTATACATACCGCTCTGTTTTTTTCGACCACATGAATCAAGAGATCCCGCAGACATTTTTAATTCAATGCTCAATAGCCACGACTGGTTCCCACAACTGTTTCCAACAAGGCCGTCTACGACTGGTCCCAACAAGGCAGTACACAAGGTTCCACGACTAGTCCTTCGTCTGGTTCTAAGAAGGCAGTTCAGAAGGCCCACGACGCGGCGGTGAGGCTTTGCTTCCATGTCTTGACGAGGGAGCGACCCATGGTACTCCCTCAATGAAAACTGGGTGATGGCTTCTTCAAGACCACATAAAATTTTCTACCTACCTACCTACCTACCTACCTACCTACCTACCTGCCTGCCTGCCTGCCTGCCTGCCTGCCTGCCTGCCTGCCTGCCTGCCTGCCTGCCTTGCCTGCCTGCCTTGCCTGCCTTGCCTGCCTTGCCTGCCTGCCTGCCTTGCCTGCCTTGCCTGCCTTGCCTGCCTTGCCTGCCTGCCCCGCCTGCCCCGCCTGCCCCGCCTGCCCCGCCTGCCCGCCTGCCCGCCTGCCCGCCTGCCTGCCCGCCTGCCTGCCTGCCTGCCTGCCTGCCTGCCTGCCTGCCTGGGGTTAGTTCTTCTTTACCGTACTCTAAATATAGTACAGGGGTATACTTTCTATTTCGTGCCCATCAAGATGTTGTACATTAGCCTAGAACCGAACCAGCGCCCTAGAACACCACACCTTGCGCTCTAAGCTACGGTACTGAGTAACCATCTTCAGAGTTCGTAACCCAGCCTTCTGATCACGTCTTCACAGACCCTGTTGAGGTGCAAAGTGTGTTCAGGCCTTATCTTCCGCTTCCACGCGTTGGCCACACCTTTGGAGTTTCTGAAGGTGGCGTAAGGATTACGTTGAACTTTGACGTTTGTCTCTTTTGTGTGGGTGTCGATGAACTGCCTCACGGACGTTGTCAAGGGTAGTCCAAGTGCACTGTACATTTTCGATGTAACGTTTACAGTATCCAGAGCAAGGTCTTCGAAACGCACCTGTGAAAACGAAAAACAGTCGAAGGTGGTTGTTGACTGGTAATAAATATTGGAACAACATGATACTACGTGTGAATTTGTCGACTTATAAATCTGGAAACGATGTTTGGGCACTACTTTTGAGAGTAAAACTCTCTACAAGTTCTTATGTTCAGTGTCTCAGTATCACAGTTAGCAGGACGTTTAAGGCATGACCAGCCACACATGTCGTGTGTTTGCTCAACGAGAGGATCTATAGGCAACGAGGTGGACGTTACTTGTGCAAGGCGTTTTGCCGAATATTTGAAGCTGCAAAAAGGTCTTGCCAATTCTCTAGCAACTCTCACTTACAAATGCAAAATGAGAAATACGAAATTACATGTACGAACTGTCGGGGCTGTTTAGTGTGAAGAACCAATACTTCCTTCGGATACCTGTAATCCATAGCACACGCGGGCATATCCAAGGTATCTTATGGCATAGGGCCACATACGTAGCGTCATGGTGGCGAGGAGAATCAGCCTATCATTGCCCTTAGCGTGACTACCCTTGTTGCAGGGCAAAGGCCACTTCCGTGTTTCGTGAATCAACCCTGCCATGTGCTTAAAGCAGCCGCGTTACCCCAGCAAACTTGTAAATTGGTTCTTCCATCTCACTTAGTGCTTTGTTCTCACGTGCTTGGCAATTCTCTTAGAATCATGTCTGTCACTTTTCATAATCACCGGTCATCTATCTGTCTGCGCTAAATGCACATCCGATACGTTTCTTATTACCTCTCACTCTCTTCTTCATTTCGGCTTACACTCATTCGTCCTATGACCCAAACAGCTTATTTTTTATCCTTCGAGTATGAACAACTGTTTTGCATAGTTCTCTGCGTCGTCCAAAATGTCAACTGAATATATTTAGCAACACTCCAGTTTTCAATCGTTGGGTAAGTACCGCTAAGAAGTGGTTTTTATACACCTTATGCTTCACGGATACTGAAAAATTAGCGTTTATTTTCTAAGCATATACCCGCCAAATGCATTCCTCTCCACCTATACTCTTCCAATCAAATGACCTATGAGTTTGCTTGTTGTAATGACACTTTAGATCCTCACCTGTATCGCACGGCCGGGAAACTCCCGGCTGATATTCTCGAACACATCCAGGTCACGCTTCATATCGTTGCAAAGCGCTATGGCTCTGGAACAATTACCACGACACCACTAGCGTCGCCTACGGGACAGCCAGATGGCGCGTGGGTCACGTACTAGGTGCACCACCTTTACCTTTTTACTGGTCGCCATAGGCCCATTCAGTAAATAATGGCGTACCGCCGCCATGCCATTGGGCACCACCTTCATAACCTGCAAAGGCACATTACAAATTAAAGTTATTCAATAAAAAACAAGAACTAATATTCTTACGTAGATGTTTAGAATATTCTGCGCATGTCAAAAGGAAATGAATGCTATAGATGAAAAAAAGCATCAGTGAACAAGAGGTCATGCTAGTGTCCTGGCCCGAAGTGAGCCGCTCCCATGTAGACATGGTTACGAGTAACTTGTTTAATGAGGTATTTACAGCGCAGAGAACCCGACGAGCAAGATGTCGTCACACCAGCATCCAACGGAAAAACCCACTTCGTCCTCCTCTTTCTTGCAGCCGTGTTTAGCGGCTGTTTTGTATCATAACCCCCGGCGGTAGAAGCACCGTTCCGGTGCTAAATTTACGCAGATGATGTCGAAGGGGGGTAATAGGGCTTTAGCCGAGCCACGTGAACGGTGTCGCTCAGAGCTGACGATGACTTTGTTGGATCGGTTGGAACAATCTCGTACGTGACGTCTGTCACTTGGCGAACGATACGAAATGGTCCAGTGTAGGGCGACAACAGTTTTTCCGACAGTCCCACACGCCGAGTAGGTGACCAGAGGAGCACGAGAGAACCCGGAGAAAAGTGCACGTCCCTATGGTGAGAATTGTAGAGTTGTTGTGGGTGCTCCTGTGAAGCCTGTAGACGGTTACGGGCGACTTGGCGCGCATGTTTGGCGCGGGCAATGGCTTCACCAGCATATTCAGTGGCCGCAGGTAGTAACGTGTCTAAAGGTAGAGTTGGGTCCCAGCCATATAGTAGATAGAAGGGCGAAAATCCGGCAGTGTTGTGACGAGATTAGTTGTAGGCGAACGTCACATACGGCAAACGAATGTCCCAATCATGGTGGTCTGGCGCAACGTATTTGGCAAGCATATCGGTTAGGGTCCTGTTAAGGCGCTCCGTGAGGCCATTTGACTGGGGATGGTACGAAGTAGTAAATTTGTGCTTGGTATGGCAAGACCTCAGGATTTCATGAACGACAGCTGATAAGAACGTGCGGCCACGGTCGGTGAGAAGTTGACGGGGAGCACCGTGCACTAATATTATGTCGTACAGTAGAAAGTCCGCCACGTCGGTAGCGCAGCTGGTCGGGAGTGCTCGTGTGATTGCGTACCGAGTCGCGTAGTCCGTGGCAACAGAAATCCATTTATTTCCGGCTGTGGAGAGTGGAAAAGGGCCCAACAGGTCGAGACCTACTCGAAAGAAAGGCTCGTTGGGAACGTCGATCGGCTGAAGGTAGCCGGCTGGGAGGGCAGACGGCGTTTTGCGACGCTGACAGGGCTCACAAGCGGTGACATAGCGTCGAACAGAGCGGGCAAGTCCAGGCCAAAAAACCGACGTCGTACTCGATCGTACGTGCGAGAAACGCCCAAATGGCCCGTTATGGGAGCGTCATAGAGTTGATGCAGGACAGAGGAACGCAGCTGCGTTGGGATGACAGGAAGTAAGTCTGATCCGAAGGAATCGAGGTTGCGGAGATATAGGATCCCGTCTTTCACCAAAAACATTCGTAGGGACGGGTCGCGATGCGTTGACTCCAGTTTGTCAATGATGGCTCGTAAAGAAGCATCCTGACGTTGCTCTTCGCCAATGTTTAACAGCTGCGACACCGAAAAAAACGTCCTTGATAGCGTCAGTATCGGTTGCTTCGTCAACAGGGTAGCGGGATAAACAATCCGCATCCTGATGTAATCGCCCTGTTTTGTACATTACAGAGAACGTGTATTCTTGAAGGCGTAGAGCCCAACGAGCGAGACGTCCCGTGGGGTTCTTCAGGGAGGCTAGCCAGCAGAGCGCGTGATGATCCGTAACAACACGGAATGAGTGCCCGTACAGGTATGGGTGAAACTTGGCGACTGCCCATACAAGGGCGAGGCACTCGCGCTCCGTGATGGAATAGTTGCGCTCGGCTGGAGATAGCAGTCGACTTGCGTAGGCTATAACACGGTCGTGTCCGCGTTGTTGCTGCAATAGCACAGCTCCTATGCCGTGTGCACTGGCGTCCGTGTGAACCTCGGTTCGAGCTAATGGATCAAAGTGAGCCAAGATTGGTGGCGTTGTAAGCAATGTCGTAAGTTGCGAAAACGATGACGCTTGGTCATGGCCCCATGTAAACGAGGCGTCTTTCTTCAAGAGGTCTGTGAGTGGGCGTGCAATGGTCGCAAAGTCCTTAACAAAGCGTCTGAAATATGAGCACAACCCCACAAAACTGCGGACATCCTTTGTGGTCTTCGGAACGAGAAAGTTCGTGACTGCGCGAATTTTCTCTGGGTCTGGACGCACGCCTTGAGCAACGACAAGGTGACCGAGCACGGAAATTTGACGACGAGCGAAGTGGCACTTGGAGGCGTTAAGCTGGAGTCCGGCTCGACGAAAAACGTCCAGAATAGCTGACAAACGATCAAGATGCGAGTCGAATGTGGGCGAAAAGACGATAACATCGTCAAGGTAACACAAGCAGGTGGACCATTTCAGCCCTTGGAGCAATGAGTCCATCATTCTTTCAAATGTGGCTGGTGCATTGCAGAGTCCAAAGGGCATCACCTTAAACTGATAAAGCCCATCAGGAGTGATGAATGCGGTCTTCTCGCGGTCCATCTCGTCGACGGCTATCTGCCAGTACACTGATCGAAGGTCAATAGTTGAAAAATAAGTGGCACCGTACAGGCAGTCGAGGGCGTCGTCGATGCGAGGTAAAGGATAAACGTCTTTTTTGGTAATTTTGTTAAGGTGACGGTAATCGACACAAAAGCGCCATGTTCCATCTTTCTTTTTAACAAGGACGACTGGAGAAGCCCAGGGACTGCATGAAGGCTCGATAATGTTTTTCGCAAGCATTTTGCTGACTTCATGTTGTAATATTGCACGCTCCAGCGCCGACACACGGTAGGGGCGTCGGTGAATGGGGTTGCATGGCCAGTATTTATGCGATGGGTGACAATGGTCGTTTGGCCCAAAGAATTGCTGGCAAAGTCGAAAATGCTACGATAGCCCTCAAGAACGTGGCAAAGCGCTGCAGCTTGCTCAGACGTGAGGTCCGATGACACCATTCGCTCGATGTCGGTGCCACAAGAACGTGATGGAGTGGAACCACTGACTGAGCTGCAGCAATCGTCAACTCTGAAGGGCTCGACATGGTCATCTTGGAGAGCAGTAATTTTGGCCACGGAGATACCCTGTGGCAGAACTTGGGTGGTGAGTGAAAAGTTGACCAGTGGAAGGAAGGTGCGGTTTCTCTTAATCGTCAGAATCATATGCTACACAGCAACCTCATGCGTAAGCATCACTGCAGGAATCGGGGCCACCATGTAATCACCATCAGGTACTGGCGGCGTGGAGGATAAGTCGACATGTGTGACAGAGATAGGAGGGAGGCGCGTGAAATCAATGCAGCAGAGGCTGGTTTGCGGTGGGCTGGTCGGGTCGGAAAAGAGGGGTAAATCGAGATGGAGAGAGCCAGCTGAACAGTCTATGAGGGCAGAGTGCGTGGCTAGAAAATCCATACCGAGTATGAGTTCATGAGGGCAATGTTCGATAACGGCGAAAAGAACCACACTGCTTCTCTCCCCAATGGACACTCGCGCAGAGCACATGCCAAGAATTGCAGCAGTTCTTCCATCGGTGACTCGTACAGCTCGGTTGAGGGCGGGCGTGACAACTTTTCTAAGTCGGCGGCGAAGGTTAGCACTCATAATAGACACATGCGTGCCAGTATCTTTCAATGCACTGACACGAACATTGTCGACAGTAACGTCCAAAAGGTTCCGGTTCGTTGTTAATGTTAATCGAGGATTTCTTACGAAGGTCGTCAACGCAGCTCCACCTCCAGAAGCTGCACGGCCTAGTTTTCTGGTCGGAGATGCTGCGAATAGGTCGGGGAGGCAGCGCGGCGTTGTGGGGGCGACCGGGACTGACGACGAGCAGGGGACGGTGACCGGTCGTAGCGAGGTCTGCTCAGAGGTGGTGTAGGAGCGGAAAATGTGGTCGGCGTTGATAGAGAAAGTGGTGGGGACGCCTGGCGAGCAGAAGTGGTGTGATACTGAGGTGCATAATGGAACGGTGGAGCCGAGCGGCTGCGGCAGTGACGAGCGATATGGCCAACGCGTCGACAGTTAAAACATATGGGCCTGTCATCAAGAGTACGCCATTCGGACGGATTGCGTTGTATGCGAGGTGCAGAAGGGGTACGATAAGAAGGCTCAGCAGAGTATACGGTAGGAACAGGATGTAGGCCGACATTCGATAGCTCTTGACGAACGACCGCTTGTATTAAAGAAATCGTGGTCGGGGAAGGCGCAGGCGTCGGTAATGGCGTGGCTACCAGTTGTGCTGCCTCGACCTCTCGACGAATGATGCGTGTAAGGTTGTCACATCGAGGGGCCTGGTGGAAGGCGTCGTCACACGAAGAAGTGGCCGCTGTGTTCGGAAGGCGCACGATGCTTTGGGCTACGCGGTGGGCTTTAGCTTGTTCGAGACGTCGGCATTCTTTAAGGATTGTGTCGATGCTCGAGACGTTGTTAAAAACCAGCAGGTTGAAAGCATCGTCAGCAATGCCTTTCAAGACGTGGTTAACCTTTCGTCTTCCGACATGGACTGGTCGGCCTTGGAACAAAGGGCCAAGACGTCAAGATTGTAAGAGACGTACGATTCGGTAAAAGACTGGGCCCGTGTGGCAGAGTCGTTTTCCGCAGCGAGCTGACGACCAGATGAATTGCTAAACAGGTCACGTATCTTTCTTTGAAGAGATCCCAGCTCGTTTTGGTCGGCTTCGTGGCTTTCAAACCATGTTCGGGGAGTGCCGTCCAGGTAGAAAAGCACGTTGGCGAGCATGAGCGTGGGATCCCATCGGTGAGTAGCACTGACGCGCTCGTACCGCTTCAGCCAAGTGTCGAGATCGATCGTACCATCACCGGAGAAAGTGCCGGGATCCCGGAGGTTGCGGTAGTGTGACGTAGGTGGTGGCTTGGACTGATGAGGGCGGCGTAGAGGAAGTATCAGCAGTCGAAGCAGTCGAAAGGTCGCCGATGTGCGACCGCTGCGCGTCTCCTTCGAGGTACGGGGGTCATCCACCTCCACCAATAATTTTATGACTAACTTGTTTAATGAGCTATTTACAGCGCAGAGAACCCGACGAGCAAGATGGCGTCAGACCAGCATCCAACGGAAAAACCCACTTCAGTCCTCCTCTTTCTTGCAGCCTTGTTTAGCGGCTGTTTTGTATCAATATCAAAAAGAACTGGCCTTTCACCACTTCGCGGGCCCCTTGAGCTGCCCGTAACTGCCCTCTAATATAGAAGGTGCGTAAAGCAGCGTCCGCTGTTCTTCAGTATTTCGCTTGTCGCTTGCTTAACGCAGAGCAAACGTCCGATAGCGGGGTCTATGATGTCGCGACTATTGTTTCATGTTGTAGAAATACAGGAACTCCGAATATACCTTATTAAGTAACAGTGGCACCGGGTAAGTTCTTGTTTGTAATAGCCTCAGAGTAATGACCTGAGCTCTGTTCAGCTTACTGTGTGGAAGGGAAGAAGACCCTGCGTCCTATGTAGAAGTGTTTGGTTAGCATATCTTACAAGGAAAGGACCCCTGCATTCTGTAGAAATGTTTGGTTAGCTCATCGTACGAGCAGAGGGTCCCTGCATTCTGGAACCTCAGCATCTTGATGCCTTGTGTCTGCATAGTTCTCAACTCCTCGTGCAGGATTGTGGGCTGATTCATTCGGGTTCACGACAGCACCATTGATTTCTCTCATGTTATCAGGAAGCCAGATAGCCATGTGCAGTTTGACTGCTTTTCTTTGATGCATTTCCAACGCCTCTCTAGAGATTACTCCTTTTGCAAATACTCAGGTGGCTGCCCTAGAATCTTGTGAATCTTCGATCAATTTGGCTCTAAAAGTGTCAGTTAAATGGCTGGTTACTTGCTTGGCAGCTTCTGCTTTCGTGGTGTTGGTGGAAGCCGAGTTGAATAGTTCACGTTTGCCGTTCATAAGTTACCGTTGTGAAGGCTCGTTTAAAGGACATGAACTCCACGGCAAGAAACGAGCGATCCTCCACCTCATTTTTAGCTTTTTCTACCAAGCCTTTGGCTCTAGATTTTTGTCGCTTGTTGTCGGAGTTGCCGCTTTGCACTTCAAGAGCACTTTCACAGGAAGAGCGCTTTCTCACGATTGCTTTGTAATGTTTCGCTCAAGAAAAAATTACACCACACTCTTTCCGTAAGCTTCACAT